GTGCCGGCGAATCCACACCTAGTCAGACCCAGCGTCGTCTCGGAATCTGGCGTGAAGATCAGGAGAAAGGAGCAGGCATTCAGGTCAGAGACATTTTGTTCATGCTGGAGGCGGATGGGCGGGCGACCAGGCATGTGCAGAGGGGCTACCTAAAGGATCCCAAAGAGGATCGGGATCGAAACTGACTGGGTCATAAATGTTTGTAATCTTATTTTCTTTTGCCCCTAATTTCTTTCTTAGCCCACAGGAGTATGGCTCCGGGTACCAGGAGTTCTTGCAATTCTGTGTGTGTATGTATGGTGGCGTTGGCAGGCTTATTGGGGGGGGTGGTTGTCAGGTTGTGAGGCCATGATCTTTAATTTCATTCGACTACACGTTGAGCATACATCTTTGAGAGGACAGAGCAAGTAGGAACTTTTTTGTACGTCAATCAAGGACCAGGATATGTAGGGGTCTATTGTAGATCTTGTGTCATGGTGGGAACTCTACAGTTCTTTCGCTATCACAGACTACATCTAGATATATCAAGGGGCTGGATTTGGCTGTCTGAAGATATTCATTTCAGGTCGACATCATTGATTGTTTAGAGTCCAAACAAACGGACAAAATTATTCGAGTGTTTTCTATTGTCGTACCAATTGATCGAATATCGATATATTGACATGTCCGTGATTAGTATGTCTATGTGTCTACTTGGGCTCACTTTTGATCTCACTTTTCAGTATCTGTTATTCCGAAATTGAGCCTTGATCGAGATAAGTAGTTCATATATACACAGATATAATCGTGAGCGTTGATTCAACATAGGCCATTCTCCTATGGCCTCTATACAACGCTTTCTTTCCCATTCATCCCCCTTAAAAATCAGATTGAAAGCCCATTCAAGTCCAGCTCATCACGGTTTAAGATCCATTACACCTATATCTCATTGGTTTCCGAGGTATCCCAACCTGGATGCTGACTCAGGTGGAATGTCTGGCCCGGGGTAGTATCCATATAGGAGGGGACCTAGTCGTGATATCAGCATTTCCTGGAACTTCCTATCGGGTTGTAACGTTTGATATGCTTTTCAACCTAAGCATTCTTGATATGAAATCCTTGATCTTCTTGATCTTGATGTGCAGGGTCTCTCTTGTGGATTGGATTCGGCTAAGCCAGGGCTTGGACGCGATGCTCCCGCCCCTCCCAAGGCGTTTCAAGGCGCAAGGCTCATTCAGGACTGTAGGGACGTTCTTTTCCATTGGATTTACAGGGTATGTTGGAATGAGAAAATAATATCCCGCGTTCTCTCCCTGGAGACGCATGGACCCCGGGGAGATGGTGTATAGAATAGAGAATAGGTAAATAACGTATCCGATTGATATATTTAATGGATTTCAAGAAGTTGTAAAAGGAACAATATAAGCATGAAAAGATCTTCTAGGCAACTATTTCATGATTCTATCGAAGTAGAATCAAATCAATAGAACAAATCAACCAAAATCTCCAAGATCCCAAAATCCCAGTTGATCGGCAACGGATCCCAACTCTCCGACTCTTCCATCATCACTTTGCCTCCAGGCCTTTCCCCTCCGTTCACCAATGTCGCCAGGTCATTCAATCTGTGCTTTACTTGAATTCGTCGAGGAAATGCAAATCATTTGAAAAAAAAAAAAGATCTCTCTTTCTTCGACCGCCTCAGCCCGTCATCTTCACGTCCAATCTCCTTACAGACTTACCTCAATCTCTGTCGACCTTCCTCTCTGGCTGGCTTGTCCTGCCTTGAGATCACTGTCTCCACCGAGGAATAGTGACGCGCAATATCGACTATCGGTCAGAAATTAGATCAATCTTCTCTCCACCTTCCTACTGTTCGTGTGACGGGCAGGATACCTTCGTGCACAATGTCCACCCCGTCCACGGCGACTGCAACGCACCATTCTCATCATCAAGCTTACGGATATCCTCACCATCCTTCGTATCAACCGAATACTTCCTACCCAGCTTCCACCACTGCCGCAGGAACTCGCCTCGCGAACCCCTACGCCATTTCTGTCCCCTCCCCGACAACGACCACCCTTCCTTACACCCAACCTCCGAGAATTCCCCCCGCGACAACAACTCCGTCGGCTATGACCCATCAGAGTGGCTCGAGTGCCGCTCCCTCCGTCGGGGGTCGGAGGAAGAAACCAGACTGGAGCGAGTTCTACAAGAATGGCCTTCCCAAAGAAGTCATTGTGATCGACGACAGTCCCGGTCCGGAACCATCCAATGGTGCCCCGGCTCCTCCTGTGACTACTTCGGACAAACCACCTGCGGCTCCTCAACCCGCCGGAAAGAGGCGACGGACGGGGATTGAAACTGCCTATGACCTGGGTCACTATGACCGCCCGTCCTTTTCAATTAACCCCCAACATTATGGCGAAGAATCCTCCGCCACCTCCTTATCGACCGATCGAACCGCATCTTTACATACTACAGCTCCAACTTCGCTGGGTTCACAAGGCAGCTCGGGGGCGAGCAATGGTGTATACTATGAGGATGGCTCGGTTGGTCAGAAGCGGAAACGCGCCACTCGGAAATCCACCCGCGATGAGCAGAAACGACGAGAGCTGGAGACTGCCGGTGATGCTTTTTTGAGTTATGTCCCACCTCCAAAGCCGCCGATCAAGGCAAAGGATGTCCCTGTGCCGGTCGTTCGCGATGTGAGTGTTTTATCTTTGCCGGACTTTTCGTGCCAATTCACTGACAAATTTTTGCTCGAACAGTACACCAGTTCTCAGAACAAGAAGTTTGACGATGACGATGGCCACTACATTGTCACACCCGATACGCCGTTGACAGATCGATGTGAGTAAAGAGAGATCTCTGGTATCCTGTTTACCTTACTAACTCCTCTCAAGACTCTGTGATCAAACTTCTAGGCCAAGGTACGTTCGGCAAAGTTGTCGAAGCCTACGACAAGCAGCGCAAGGCTCGCTGTGCAGTCAAAATCATACGCTCTATCCAGAAGTATCGCGACGCATCTCGAATCGAGCTGCGGGTCCTGTCAACTCTGGCTTCAAATGACAAAAGTAACCGCAACAAATGCATACACCTTCGGGACTGCTTTGACTTCCGGAACCATATTTGCATCGTCACTGATCTACTCGGACAAAGTGTATTTGATTTCCTCAAGGGGAATGGCTTTGTCCCATTCCCGAGCAGTCAGATCCAGCAGTTTGCCCGGCAGCTGTTCACCAGTGTTGCCTGTGAGTTCTCCATATCTCTATCTACATACCAGACCACTGACTTATCAGTCCTCCATGACCTCAACCTTATCCATACCGACCTCAAACCCGAAAACATCCTCCTCGTCAGCAACGCCTATCAAACTTTCACTTACAACCGCACTATACCATCTTCTTCCCACGCCACAGCTCGCAACGCGCGGCAGCGCCGCGTTCTCCTCGATGGCGAAATTCGACTCATCGACTTTGGTTCGGCGACATTTGATGATGAATACCACTCATCTGTCGTGTCTACCCGTCATTATCGGGCCCCCGAAATCATATTGAACTTAGGCTGGAGCTTCCCATGTGATATCTGGAGTATTGGGTGTATTCTGGTGGAATTTTTCACTGGAGATGCCCTATTCCAGACACACGACAACCTTGAGCACCTAGCGATGATGGAATCCGTCATCGGCAATCGAATCGATACCGCTTTGGTGAAGAAAGTCATGGCGGGCCGAGGTGGTAGCCTCAACTCCGCTTCCAAGTAAATATATGACCCTTCAATCTTTCCGCAATAGGAACTAACTTTACTAGGTACTTCAATCGAAGTAAGATCGACTACCCCAACGCCGAAACCACCCGGGCCTCGCGGAAGTACGTGCGCGCGATGAAATCTTTGACAGTAAGTGTCTCGCATATCTGCCTGAAGGACTATGACTGATTCGTCTACTGTAGGAGTTCATCCCGACCAACACACCCTTCAACCGTTCATTCCTAGATTTACTGCAACAGATCTTTGTCTACGATCCCAAGAGTCGGATCACCGCAAAGGAGGCATTGAAGCACCCGTGGTTCAAGGAGACACTTGTTGATGATGGCACAGAGGCTCACCGGATCGGCCAAGGATTGCATCGCCAAGCACGCACCTAGGCCTCAGGTTCAATCTGCACCGCTACAGCAACCAATATTTGGCTCTTTCAATGGCACCAGAAGGGAATTCAACCGGCGTGAACAGGATCCAGCTATGGATAGAAGGTTCATATCTTGAGGGTAATTTTTTTCTCTATCGCGAATGGGACGGAATGGTGTTTGCACTTCGGAAAATCATGATCACGATGTTTCTCTTTTTCTTCTTCTTCTTCTCTTCTTCTTTTTTTTTAATTCCTTTTCGGTCCCTGGGCGTCTCTCCTCGACTCCTGCAGGTGGCAGCTCATGCAGGCTTCGGCTGTCTTTGTGACACTACATGGCAGGGGCATCGGACCCTTGAGCAACCGGAATCGATGCATGTATCCTTGAGGGACCTATCCCCGGATACTATCCGGCCTTACTTTATTTGCTTTATCTATCCTTCTATGCCACTCTTAAAGGCGCCGGTTACATGTTATTGTTCTTTTCCCGTTCTGTTTATGGAATCCGGCTTTGGGAGCCCTGGAGGGTTTAGGCTAAGGTCTGGATGATTATACCATTTGATTGTTTGTGGCGTTCAATTGTTAACCGTATGAGTGTATATATGTGTTTCTTTCCAATTTCCTAATTCTTCTCAGGTCTGTATATGACTCTGTTTTCGTCGTCTCGGACTCTTTATACATTGGGGCGAAGCAACCCGAAGCCGCACCACGTTCTATATAGTTACAAGGCCACTTACAATTGACGTCGGTTTGGGGCAAACCATGAGCAAAACCCGACTCTCTAAATTGATTTACAGATCCATGAATAGCGTGCATAGATTGCGTCGATCAAATCCCGAGGTCAACATCCGGGATCCTCCAACACCACTTTCCCCCTTTATCCAATCCACTCGGCATCATGGACTCTCCGGCGTGGCAGACAGAGATGACAATCATCAAATTTCATGAAATGCTCCGTATAGACCCCACCGTCGGCCCGGAGCTGGTAAACAAATATCTCGAAGCAATCAAGCAGCACGACGGGACCCTCAAATCTCTCATCACCGTAAACAACACAGCCCTAGAAACTGCAATTGAAAAAGCCACCGAGACAGTTGAATTCAACCAGACCAGCAAGCCATTCCCATCCCTACACAGCGTGCCCATAATCCTGAAAGACAATTACAGCACCGCAGATCTACCAACAAGCGCGGGCGTGAAAGCCCTCCAAAACCTACGCACAAAAGATGACAGCGAAGTTGTCTCCCAGCTACGCGCCGCAGGAGCAATTATCCTAGCAAAGGCCAATCTACATGAATTCGCCCTGCAGGGAATCACACTCTCATCGCTCGGTGGGCAGACGCTGAACCCATACGACAAGACCCGCACACCGGGCGGATCCTCTGGTGGGACAGGCGCAGCGCTAGCGGCGAACTTCGGGCTCGTGGGGTGCGGGACAGACACGATGAACTCGCTGCGGTCGCCTGCGTCTGCATGCGGGATCGTGGGGTTCCGGCCGTCGACGGGGAGGGTGTCGTGTGTGGGGATTGTCCCTGTATCCCACACGCAGGATACGGCCGGGCCGATGGGGAGGACTGTCAAGGATGTAAGAATCTTGTACGGGGCCATGAAGAGGCCGGATGGGGAGAAGGTGGATTCGACGGAGGTATCAGAAGAAGTGATACACCGCTCCGGGCATCAAGTTCGAATTGGAGTCTTGGAGGCTTTTTTCCAGCCTGAAAGTTATACAGATACAACCGTGCATTCGGAGTATATGGCTGAGAACCAGATTGTGCAGGACATTATTCGGTCGAAGTTGGAGTCTATACAGGAACAAGATGCGAATATCACCTTGGTACCTATCACCCCATCCAGCCATCCAGACTGGAGTTACGAGACCCTGTTTGCACAGGCGGATACACAGGCTTTCGAGTTTAAGCACTATCTTGACGAGTTCCTGCAGTCGCCACTGATTTCGTCAACACCGCATCGATCACTGGAATCTATTGCCCGGAGCGGCGAGTTTGATCCACAAGCCATGACGCACGTTTTTTCTGCAGCACTGGAAGATCCCGAAACTTGTTCACTGACGAGCGAGGCATACCGACGTCGACTGGAGTATATTGCTTCTCTTAGGAAGTCTGTGAATCAATGTTTTGATAGATACGATGTTGACGTGCTGGTATATCCGCACCAGACTCAGCTCGCGGTGAAGATTGGCGCGAAGAAGCAGTCAGGACGGAATGGCGTTTTGGCTGCGTTGACGGGGAGGCCTGCTATCTGTATTCCCGGTAGGTAATTTGGGCCAGTTTTTGTTATTGGACTAACATGAAAAATACAGCTGGGCGAAGCCCTAATACTGCATCTGCTGTGCTTGGTGTTCCTATTGGATTGGAGCTGATGGGCCGCCGTTGGGGAGATGATGAATTGCTAGATATTGCGGAGCGGGCTGAGGGGATTCTTAAGGGTAGAGTGGGACCTCTTCTTCATTGAATGGTCTAGAAGGATAACAGTATTGACATCTATAAACGGAAAACGGGTCTATGTATTGTCTGACCTATGCAAAGACAATGTAATATGCACGCTGCGCAACGCCTAAGATCAAAAACTTACATTCCGCGATTGAACTCCACCATGCCCAGATCACCACCACGGCCCCTGAATTCCTCTTCAAGGCTATCCACGCTAATAGCCTGGCGAGACGGGAACGCAGCGAGCGCAAGCGGCAGCGCAAAGATCGAAGTACCCAGAATCAGCGCCAAGTTAATAGGCGTAACCATGCGGGGGCGGGCACGCAGCCAGTCCGTCTTCTCGAGACGAACGAGAATCAGTGGCGGTAGGACCATGATAGGCGTAGCGTTCAGGACACGGGAGATAGCCGTTTCACCGACAGCAATTGTAGCAGCCTTCTTGCTCTTGCCGAGACTCTGAACTGGCTCGGCGTCCTCGTTGAGCTCACGCTTAGCGCGCTCAGAATCTGACAGGACAGGGTAGACATCAATACCCTGACGAATTTCCTCACCGCGCATGAGGAAGACGTTCAGGGCGGAGGCGCTGGCAACTGCAGCGAAGGGAACGAGGCGGGAGAGGATAAGGCGGGTGTTTGGGGAAATGCTCTTGAGGCGGGGGACGAGAGCGTTCAGGCCGACTGCGACGGAGCAGGAGGCTGAGACGGCCATGAGGTAGGACTTGCCGATTTGCGAGAGGGAGAGGGGGTAGATTTGTTGGCATTTGCGTTGTTGACGGCGACGTTGAGGGACTGGTTACCAATTTGCCAGAGGAGGGTGCCGGTTGTCTAAATTGTCAGTACATTGTTGAGAGAGATAGGGACATATATAATATAGTTGGAGAAGTATGGGGATATGCTCACCTGCAATCCTGGTGTCAACATGCCTGCTGTGACGACCAAGTTCGAGAGCACGTAGCAAGACATGCGGAATGGCAAGAAAACGGGCGTTCCAGTATCTGATCGGTCCTTGGTTAGCCAATGGCTATTGTATGACATTGAACGAGCCCGTACCAGGGTGCAATGTCGCATCAACCACCTTCTTCGCCGACCACAACTCCGGTGTCATGGTTGGGATGCGGTTCTGCTTGTAAGAAGCAATGAGGCTCTTTGCGCGTTCGAGGCCAGCGGACGAAACAAACAGAGTCCTAATATCATTGAAACGATAAGTATATACCGGGAAAGCTTCCAATCTCTTCAATCTAAACGTACCGAGGATCAGAAATGTCGGCAGCATGGCGCACGCGACCCCAATAGGTCTTCAGGTCATACTGCGACGCGGGAAGGTCCCGACTGCCAGGGAGAGAGGCAGACATTGGTTCAAGTGAATGGCGAAGCACAAACGACTGGAATTGGACCAAAGAGAATGAATGGCGCGTAAAAAAAAAAAAGAGGCGATATGACTCCGCGGGGAGAAAAGCGCTTTTTCGATAAAAAGGGCGGTGTGCCGATAAGTGCGGGTTGACCAATCAGACTGCAGCCCGATCTATATAATGGGTCCACGGGTACCTGGTAAGCCTACTAAATACGGGTGAGGTTCGGCCAAGGAGATCAAGCGGCGTAAGTTGATCATTTAAAGAAGAGGATGGGCTATTGCGGAACTAAATAGCCCAGGTGTTCCTGCGGGCAGGCAGACCTGCCCCGGGCCGGCTCCTCTCCCGAGACCGGTTCGCTACCCCGATATGCGGGGAGTTCTGCAGGATCGCACTAACAAAAGAACGGAGAAGAAAAGAGACGATGCTATTCTGGGTTTGTCCAGGATTGTGAGGGAATAGTACATAGGTATCATAAGGGGGTAAAGGGGTTTCTGAAGGGGGTTTGAGAAGGGTGATTATGAAATGGGGCAGGGTGGCCCAGCTAATGCAGAATATCAAAGAGCCCGGTTGGGGGAAGAATCACACAAAGGAAATCAAGAGGCACCAGTCTTTCATATATGCATCCAAGATAGTAGTCAACGCACCGGGTTTACCGGAAGCGGAATGACTTGTGGGCCAAGGGAGAGGGAGGGGCTTGCCCCGTGGGAACGTAAGCTGTTCGGACACGGTGTTGTCTGGTCGGTGTTGTTTGAGCACAAAAGACGCAGACATAGACGGAGGGCAGATTTGCGCGCTCCAATCCAACGCATCTGGTATGTAGCCAGTGTGTACACGATTCACTGGGAAAAGTTAGTACAATTGACTTTGGATACAGGGCCGATGGAGACTGGTGCTCACCATTGAATCATGAGATGGCCACCGTTATCCATCGAGCGGCAGACACATCTTGTACCGTTGCTGGGGTTGCTGTGACGCTCCGTGCTTGGGGTTGCAAGATCCGGGTCGATCAAGGTCGTGGGAGAAGCATTATGGCGGGGATTTATGTCAAAATCACTACCAAGGCGAGGCGGTGATGAGCGCAGATGATTAAAGGTGTGTGATGACCGAGAAAGTCGGCTGCCAAAAGTGTTTATGGCTGGTCTTGGCCCCCGGCCGCGTTCTTTGAGGACCTGTCGGAGTGCAGATTGAGCATCGCCACTCTCGTCATCTTCCCCGGGCAACAGGTCTGATGCCACGCTACTCCGAGTATATGTCGAATCCGAGTGCAGCAGAGACGAATGCCGTTTGGGTGTCCGCTTAATATCAGGGGATCCTCGATACGCTGGTCGCCCACCTCCCCTGGAAGAGCCAGCCCAGGGTGACATCCGACCGGAGTGGGACGAGCCGACGGTGGAGGCATATGACCCCTTTGAAGGAGGCCGGGAGTCTGAGTCACTCCGGGATAGTGGACGCCGTGAGCCATCATAAAGAGAAAAGGACGACTGAGCGCGATGCAGCACGGGATATTCCGAGAACTCAGCCGGATCCGATTCACTCTCGGTTGTAGAGCCATCTAGGTCAATCCCGGTCAGGGGATCGGTCAACCCCGTGGGAGCCTCACTGAGTGGCTCCATTTCAGCCTTTGCACGGCCATCCCGACCGATGCGAAGAACTACAGACGACGAGCGCGTCAAGGAGCCGGTAGCTGTCGAACTAGATCGTATCAAGGGGGCTGGGCGCATGGCCTTTGCTGGAGACGAACGCCCTTTACATGGACTTTTTCGGATTCCGCTGGTGGATGCCATCAAGCCCCCAGCTTGACTGAGTGGCCGGGATGAGCTAGGTAGGCCGTTGTGTGTTAGACTGCGGGTTAGGCCTGGCCGTATTCCCCTCGGGGTGTAGTCGTCATCTTCCTCTTCGCTCTCGCTCGGGAAGGCATTGAAAGGATCGGATCGGTGACCATTTGGTGCCTGTGCACGGATAAGCTCCTCCCGTCTTGACTCTTCTGCCTGGTGGTGATAGGGCTGCCGAAGGCCACGAAGAGACCGCGTCTCTGGTGTAAGCTGAGGCCCACCAAATCTCCGAGCAGGGGAACTGAGAAACAGAGCTGGATCCTCGGCTTTGGTCACCGGAAGTCGGGGGGAGGTAGAGAATGGCGCAGGAAACAGGGCAGCATCGGTGGGTGGTGGTGCTGAGATTCCAAAAGCGTTGCCAAAATCCACCAGACCAGTTGAACCACCAATGTTTGGTAACTGAGGAATGTGATGTGTGTTTGTGAAGGCGGAGGTCTGACGAGCATTGATATTGTCCCTGTTGCTGGGCAAGGGAATCTCGCTCGCTGTATTGTCTAGATCATGATCCCAAAAGAGTCGTTGCTGTGGGAAGAACGGCGAGCCCGTCGGATCCAATGAAGCCAGCTGAAAAAGATCGGGTGACGATTCGAGGTTGCCAAACATTCGAGGGGATGCTCCGAGAAGACGACTGGGCGTTTCTAAATGGCCTCCCATGCCCGGCGTTGTTCCTTCTGTATGTCCCTCAGCCTGGTCAAACTCGGGGATTTTTCGCCTCGATGCACTGGTCGGCGGCGGAGTTTGCATCGAGGCTGCTGACTTGGCTGATCCCACTGTCCGAGGATAATCCTCGCTCATCGGAAGGGGCTTCATCGGGCGAATCCTTCTGGCTGTATCGGTCTGGTCCGAGGACCTCCCCTTGTGACTCGTAGTCTCCCCATTGGGACCTTTTAGTGGATTGGACGAGCCGAGGCCAAACTTCTGAGGTGTACGGAGGAGCTCCGGACTGGAGGCATATGGATCGGAGGTATCCCAGGTCACTCGGGGGTCAAAAAAGCTGGATTCGAGTTTTGGGGTGTGAAACGAGTCGAAGGTGTTGGGAGTCCTCGTCGGAGTTTGAGGCTCACCGTTGGGATAGCTGAAGCTAAACATAAACGAATCCATGAGCGTCTCTCATATAAGCATATAGTATAGATTGTGGAAACAAAGAAGAAACGACTACAATGTGACCACCCCCACAAGGGGGTTCAAGGGAGAATGCATACCTGTGGACAGGGTGATCCCAACTCATGTCAGCAACACAGGCCCAGTAACCATTGAAGATCAAGCTGCCAGGCAACTTTAATTTGAGAATGTGAGAGACAAGAACAAAGTAAGATCATTGGAGTTAATTCATATTGTAGTATGTTGTAAACGAGTTGTATAAGGGGAAGAAGGAGAAGGTCGGAGGGTCGGAGAGTGTTTTTCTTTTGCTCTGTTTGTCCTTTTTTTGCCCTTCGTCTTTTTTTTGTTAAAAAAGAGGAAAAACGGGTTTGTTCTCTTTGTATTTCTTATATATCTCTAATTTTTTTTTTTTCGTTTTCTTTTTTACGTGGGGACTCGGTTTTTTTTTTTTTAATTTGATCCACAGTGTGTTCCGATGTATGTTGTGCTTCATGCAGGAACAGGATATGTAGTTAAGTACTTACTCCGTACGGAGGACGGATATAACACACTCAGCTAAGGACTTTCTCCTTGAAATGCCGATCTAGACCTACTTTGTACAATCCGGAGTAAGCCATCGGGGATGCCCGTTCAGCTCTTTTAGTACATGTGAGATAGTGGTCCCCGACATATTTGTATGGAGCTTGGAGCCTCATAGCCTCATAGCCTCATAGCCTCATAGCCTCATAGCCTCATAGCTTCATAGCTTCATAGCCTCATAGCTTCATAGCTTCATAGCTTCATAGCCTTAGATCCGCAGAATATCTGAAAGAAACTATTCGAACATTCCACTTTAGAACCCCCTGGATGGAAAGGGGAGTATCAACGTGTTCAGCTGGAGTTGGAGAGCTAGGCCCCTGGTAAAGCCTCTTGGCGTCTCTTTGCTGAGGATTATATATGGGAAACTCCATGCTCCATGCTCCCCGTATTCGTGTCTTGATCTCAATTCTTATACTCCGTTTAGTACCCTGTATTCCGTAAATTTATAGGTGCAATGGAGCCTTGATCTTGACCTTTGAAGCTCAATTCCGATCGCATCTGGAGATCTGATGATCCCAATCTTATCCTATGGGATCTGTCTCTGGGGTGATGAACCCGACCAATGAGCTCCGAATACATAACCGGGTCTCCAGTTTATGCTGATCTCATAGGTTGATAACACCACGATTGACCAGTCAATCCACAGTGTTGGCAAGAATAAACCGGGAACTTGAAATTGGGAGAGCAGATGTATCAACTGTAAAAGAGTAGCTGGGTTCTAAGAGGAAGACCAGAGATTACCTTTGTTTTGGCCTATACGGAGTAATTCATAATGACTCTATCGATTGCCATAAGCAAGATATCATGATCGGAATACAATTGGCAATAGTACACGACTGCTTATGTGACCTTATGATACATTGCCAGGCTCTTGAGTAGTCTTTTTAGTTGTAAATATGTTCAAGATAGTTTGCCCCCTTTCCAGTCTTACGGGCGGACGACATAAAAAGGCGGAAAAAGGCACACTGGGTGCAGGAGAATGCCTGTATATAATTTTTGATTGATTATGCTTCATAGATGCAAGAAAGACGAATTATTGTTGTAGTGAGTTCGCGTTAACATATTTAGGCCTGATTATCCTGGCACCAAAATGAGGCTCCACGCAGCCACGCAGCCACACCGTTCCTGATCTGCTTTGATCGTAAACTGTGGAACTATCAAAGACACTGAAGTGTTTCAGGCCCAAAAATAATATTGAGCGACAATCAGATTTCAGTGCCCGAAGATCCCCCTCAATGGAATCGATGCGTGAGTCGCAATTCAACACCGTGTCAACCATCAACTCATCAACCTCCTTGGCTTCATAAACACTCAACATGGCACCAACCACTAAACCCAAAGTCCGCAAACGCAAGCCACGTGTAAGGAAGAGGAACCGTGGTATTCGCACTCGCGAAGGTCACGCACGTTCAGCAGATGCAGGCTCGCCAGTCCAACCGCGTGCCGAAGCCCTCAAAGAGACGAAGCGTCGTAAACCCAAAAAAAATTGGGCGGCCCTCATTCCTGTCTCTGATGATCCATTGGAGGAGGTAAGCTCTGTACCGTATCACTATTGGTGAATAACACACTGAACATTGAAACCAGAACGTTGTTGAGAAAGTACCCCTGCCAGATGGCTACATTCTAGTCCCCAAGGGTAATGTCTATATCACCCGACACTGTCGCAGTAAGACCAAGGAGTCCGAACAGATTGTCTATGTTGTTTACGTAGGTAAACACCGAAACCGTCAGTTCGAGTCTAAGAAGCGACCGCTAACAGCCCCAGAACCGTACAGGCAAAAGAACGCTGGGTATCCGAGTTCCCGAAGAGATTTACACAGAGGTACTCGAATCAGATGCCGCAACAAAAGAGTCGCGGGCCAACGCCGTGCAGGTGCGCGACGCTAAGGACCTCTCCAAATCCCAGAAACTCTTGAAGAACGAATTCCCGCTGATGCCCAAGGAAACCCTCAAAATCGTCTTGGGTCATGCCTTTCTTAAGGGATCGGGACGTGTAGGGCGAACAGCGATGATCAGTGATGATCGAAAGACAATTTTGGCGGTTGAAGCGCATATTCGGCATGTCCACACCCCCTACGAGAAGTTGCTCGAGGAAGGCGTCAGTCGGAAGGATGCTCGGGAGCAGGTCTGGCCTACCATCCAGGCTGTTGAACGGGCGTGGCAGGGATTTGAAAAGAGCGAGACTACATTAGCATTGCGTACGGTGGATAAGTGAAGGTTTCATTTTTCTTTCGATGGGATTGGGTGGGAATTGCATTACTGGAGTCTGTCATGGCGTTATGGGGGCTATGAAGTTATGAGGCTATGGTGTTTGGGCTCACATGAAGTTCACTAATCAGGCTTGCGGGACATTCTGGAATGCATCACTGATTAATCTACCATTGCCCAGGTGGTCTCGTAGGTACCATGTACTATGCAGGTAAATGGGTAGGCCTTTATGATATATGAATGATCCATGAAAGTAAAATCATGAAGAATAGCATCTGTAGCTATCTGGATATTAGAAGAGCGGTAAGAAGGAAGAAGAGACAAAAGGTCAGGAGCAACAGGCAAAAGATTTCTAAGTAATGAATCAGGGTCACCCAATAACTCATCGGCTGTTGAAGTCCTTCAATTGAACCTGTACTAAACTCATCAATCCCACTTGGAGCCCTGAAACAGTGCTCCTAAAGCTCGGACACACAATCACTCGTAAAGTCTCAATCTAGAGGCGTCGACCACGAAGGAACTTGACTTCGAAATGCGGATGGCGGTAAGGCAAGCCCGTGAACCAGCCGAAGCCATCTCGAATCATGTCCTGCATGATACCCATCCGAAGATTGGCATCCGTAAGGGCGTGATCACGGTTGGCCTGGTCAGTATCAATCCGAATGTAGAGATGAGGGGCAGGTCGCTCAGGCAATTCTTGCATGATTGGCATTCCAGCTCTCTGGAGACGAGTCATTTCAGCCCGAGCGGCGGTCAGCACGTCAAGGTCAAGAGTTGGCATGGGGCGAGTTAGAACGGGAATGTAAAAGAGGTGTCGGTAGAATTCATTCCCCGTAGATTCATCAGTCATACGAGTCCCAGCGGGAGTTGGTAGGGGGTCTTGCGCAGGGGTGTCAATTTCCATTGGGTCAAGTTCCATAAGATCGGGCTCGACGGGATCTCCGGCATGATCTGGGGCAATAGCGTAGCGACTGCTATCCACGCCAGGTTGAATAGGGTTCCGATATGGAGCAGCTCGGTAGCTGCTGTTCTGAGAGTTTGATGGGCCGGGTCTTCCTGCTGCACGCCCTCGGGTTTGGCTCTGTTGTCTAAGTTGTCTTGCGACCTGTCTGGGAATGGCACCAGGGCCACTGCTTGTATTGTTTGACATTGTACTAGATCAGAAGTAAGTTTATAATCTCATATTTCACTTGATCGAGGTCATACATACCCGTAGACGCTTGTCACCTCTTATATGGGAGAGAGCAAGCACGCCGTTACAACTGACGATGAAGACTCATTAAATAAAAAGCGAGAATCGAAAGATTGATCTCGTGGTCAAGAGCACTATTGCTTAGCTATTTCAACACGTGATTTGGAAAGTCGATGCTTTGCGCGTTTGAGGGTGTCAATGAGTAGAAACAAGGAAAATCTACCACCGGCTCTGCCGATAAAAAAAGATTGAACTAAAGAAGGAATTGGGAGAATAGTAATTATGAAGTTAATATTTGTTTATATCAAAAGTATCGCAAATTGTGATGCTATACAATTATATAGCCAAGCTTTCTCTCCTCGTGCTCCATATCGCTATAGTTCATTAAGAATGCCAAGCGTATGCCAAGACATTCATAGATCCCCACAATCGAACAAATCAGAAAATGTTTTACTCTCATTTTCCTTTCAAGCCTTATTGAAGACGGCAGAGATTACAGGCCTGAAATCACAGATCGGAATGCATAGCTTGATACCTATATATCTCAACAAACACGACAACGCCAAGTAAATATCAAGACATTATCCCGGCTCCATAGCAGTCACACCAATCAGGTGAAACCAATGAGGTGAACTCTCTTAGGGGGCTTAGGCTGACAGCCCCGGGAAATTTTCCCTCTCAATCTACTCGTGGATAAGTCTCTCATTTGTGATCGCTATGTTGATCATTCATCATGAGGAATCGTTTGTTTCTAGGGTCTTCAAACCGACATAAACAAGTCCTGGTGGCCGCGATTCTGACTCTGATCATTATCTTCAAGTCTCTACCCTCGTCAACGTCCAGGCTAAGCCCCCGCACTGATAACTCATACGGGGAAGACCGACCGCATTATCTCCACCAGTCTACCTTTCGCGCCAACCCAGACTATGAATATGAGACCAAGCTCTCCAATGCGCTACGCGCTATCGAGATAGAAAGGGGAATGCGCCACGATGAGAATGCGGCAGACACATTGTGGCAGATTATGTTGCCAGGGGTCATCAGCCAGCGGAGCGACGATTCAATTCAATTCGAGAAGAAGAACTCAGAATGGAGATACAAAGTAAGATAGACAATCCATATCTCGATACTTCAATGACATCTTGACCACAGTGGCTAATCTTACAATTCGCAGCTCGTACAAGCAGATTGGGCCGACAAATTCGTCTTGAAAACACTAGCATCTATCCCAGAAATCGCCCGGCTCTACAAATCATACCCGCACTCTGTCCACCGTGGTGATCTCCTCCGCTACTTGATTCTCTGGTACTATGGCGGCTACTACGCAGACCTCGACGTATACCCTGCACGAAGCATCAGATCATGTCCCTCACTACGCGACTCAATATTCAAAGACAACAGAATCAATGCAAACATCACGCTAGTCGTCGGAATCGAGATCGACGAGCCTTTCGCTTCGCCACAGAAGATGCGCGACTGGCACTGGGCCCGACGCTATGGCTTTATCCAGTATACAATGTATGCCCCACGACGGTTCAGTCCGCTGCTGAGGGAGATCATCGTCAGGGTACTGTCCCATACGAAGCAACGTCTCGACGATAGCCATTTCTGGGCTGGGGGATATAACGAAATGGATACGCTGGAGATTACCGGCCCGGGCGTGTTTACAGATGCCATTCTCGATGTGCTATCGGATACACTGCCCACCGCACATCGGTTAATTCAACAGTCTGTGGATGCGGACGCGGAGTTCTTGTCCTCGCCTTCGTCTGTACAGCGTGTGACATGGGCGCCTTTCCATGGAATTCAAGAACCACTCTGTGTCGAGGGTCCCGAAGCCAAGTCTGGCAAGCATCTGGGAGGACTGTGTGTTCTACCTATCAACGCTTGGGGTAATGGACAGCGACATTCTGGATCGGAGAACTTCCATAGCCAGCAAGCTTGTATTAACCATCGGTTTGGGGGGACATGGAAGCCTTGGAAACAGAGCTGGCAGAAGTATCTCTTTGGCTGAGAGGACATGGCTGCATCGTCTACATATGGTGTCTCGGGGTGTACAGTGTATGGCGTTTTACAATATCTTCCACTTTATCTGATCTTTAATGAGGATCAATACCGTCAAGATCTTCCTAGTCTTGATATAGGTTGTACTTTTATGCCACTATCATTGAATGAAAGCAAAATGTATTTCTTGTGTTGTAAAGTAGCCCTCTAGAAATGCCTTGAAGCCTGACCCATCAGGCATATTTGCATGGGGGGCAACCCCCTGCATAAAATAGTATGTAGCTTGCTCTCTCCTCATTCTCCCCCTACCCATCTGCCTACACTTCATACTTAGCCTCTTCTATAAACGACTCAAGGTAGGAGACACCCACCCTTTGGCAACAACATAGCTAAGATGCCGAGCCAAGCAAATACGATGTCTCCAAAACTCTTTGTTGTGTTCTACCGGCCACGCTATGGAAACTTCCTACACTGGGCGTTGCATATAGAGAAGGGCCAAGAGCATCACATTCTCGAAGTAGATGGCGAGCATCCACAATTCAAGCGCAACACCTTCATGGAAAATCCGAAAGAGTCAAGTACTTTCCTACGACAGTTCTTTATTGCTGTCCTGGGAGAGGACGATGTCGAGAGAGTAAAGAGTGCTGCACAAATCGTGCCGGTGGACAACGAGACGATTGAGTGGGATTGTCAGGATTATGTGCTGGAGATTCTGGATAAATTGCAGGAGGATCTTATCTTGGACAAGGATGATGAGGATTATATGGATGTGAGAGAGATATTGATGGAAGAGAGAGGAATGGCTTGATAACCTGCTTTTTCAATACATTCAAATCTATGAAATGTCTCTGAAATAGGGTAATCAAACTTGGGGAGGGAAAAAAAAGCCGAAAATCACGATTTCGCTAGGGATATAGGATGTCTTGACACATCATGTATCACATCATGCTGCATCCACCCCCTAAGCTCTCAATAGGTAGGATGTTCATCATTGCTCCATTCTATGAACTCCCTAATATTGGCAAGTTTGCAGTCTGAAGAGATCATAACTAAGAGTTTTCGTGATATGGAGGTAGGTAACCCTCTGGAGCAAACAATTCAACAAGATGATATCGCTTATGGGCAGTGAAGAGCTGAATTTCGCCTAGAATCCATTGATCGTAGGCTTCGACCAGCTTAGGATCATGAGACACCGCCTGACGGCCAGATGCATGAACCTATCGAGAATAGGAACATGTTAGATATGAATGAGAGTTGCTTTGGAAGTGCTTACCTCTGCCGTATGATCGGCCAGGCCGCGTAGGACCTGAATATGACTCAAGCCATGTGATTTGGAAAAATTGTCTACAAAGTTGAACTTTTCATCCGCAAGAACAAATTCTTTATAGTAAGAGAGCACATCGTTGATGTAATCCGCAAACTGCATCATGGCCGGAATGGCAGGGAGGTACTGGAGCAGGTACTGATCTTCGGGAAATCGAGCTTGATCAAAAGCCGTATGAGCCAGAAATTCCGAGGCGCCAACCCTGGGGCGTAGAAACACCGGGGCTAACTTCTTCGCGGGTGAAAAGTGAAACTGCGAAGCTACCATCTGGTGCTCAATAACGCAACCAGCCACAAATTCGAGGGAGCTCTTCACCATTGCAGTCGCACTGTAAGGCCCGTAATAGGTCTCTAGAGTTCGTAGATGGTCATCAAAGGCCTGTAGAATAGAGCTATTATGTGGTGCATGAAGGATGAATCTGCAATGTTTTCTTCGTAAGCCAATGTAAGGGTACCAATAGCAGCTTCAATCATATATATACAAGTACTGACCGTTGACCAAATTCCATCAGATCGTCCATAAAATCCTCTGCAAAATCCTCGACTAGGAAGATGTAAAGAGTATGCATTGCAATGAGCACTTTCGCATCCCGTGCTAGACCTGTGCATGATTGATGAGTCAGGTTGACAGATATGAGTAATCTTTTCTCGGCTTGTTGGAAGGACTTGGAATCCAGATCCAGCGTGGTGAGGTTTTCGCGTATTTGTGCTTCGACTTCCTTGTCCACGGCGAACGGTATTTTGTGAGGCTCAAAGCCAATCCTATCTAGCATTTGCTTGATAATTTGCTTGACAATGGTACTATGGCTGTCAAGATTCTGCAATGTAGCTGGTTCAGATCGTAGTGCCGATTTGACATAGTTCTGTATTTGGTGCGAATCGGATTGAGAGTCAATTGTCGAAGTCATGATTCCAGTCAACTGATGCTTGGCTTTTGAGGTGTAAATATATTAGAGAGGGTGTATAGAGACACTATGGGTGAATGGTGGATAGATATTTATAGTGCATTGATGGTATATAGTCCTTCGACAATCATCAAGGCAATGTCATGCACCAGCCTCGAAGATTTGCAATCTATTTCCAAGTATATATACATGCAGGCTATGCACCGTAAATGCACCGTAAACGCGCCGTAAACTGACCGTGAATGCACCCTAAATGCATTACAGATAGTGAACCGTACAAGTTTTGGTTCAATTCGTAAGAGGTATCTTATAAAAATAGATATGGCACGCACCTCGAAACGTTAGATGTAGAACCACAAGATTCGAGCCTAAGAAACTGCTATCAATTCATTTCATCAAATACACCATGTGTACAATCTTAGGTGGACCAGTACTGATCGCTGTTCTGCTTGGTCTCATTCTTTATCACAGAAGCTATCCTTCAAAGCTACCCCCAGGTCCTCCTCCCCTGTCGATAATCGGAAATCTTCACCAGTTGCCTACAGTGAAGTATTGGACAAAACTGAGAGAATGGCATCAAGAATACGGTCCGATGATCACGGTTCATTTTGGCCAGCGTAAGATGATTATCCTTGGCTCTCAGAAAATCGCTCAAGATCTATTGGGCAAACGGTCGGAAATCTATAGCGCTCGCCCCAATTTCCTAGGAGAACACGCAAGTAACGACCTGCATACCGCATTTCTCACTTCCGGACCTACGTGGAAAGCCCATCGAGCCATCTAATCGATATTTCTGAATCCGCGAATTAGCCAGAGCTACCGGCTGCTACAGGACCTAGAAAGCAAACAGGTCCTTTATGAGCTTCTCTCTGCCAATGATTTTCATGGAAGCTTGCATCGTTTTACTCATAGCGTGACATACACATTAGCTTACGGGAGGCGATTGCTACTGATAGGTGCGAGTGAAATCCAAGAAATGGATGCCATTGCAGAGACCGTGGCTAGCAGTGCCAGCACTCTCAAAGCTTTTTTCCCGGTCCTCGAAAGACTTCTCTGCTGGATGAGATTTGAAAGTGAAGCAACGAAGTTTTTGAAACGGAGACAGAAGAAGTTCTTTTCAGAAAACATGCGCATAGGTCTCGAGTCAAAGCCATGGTGTTGGGCCAAATGCGTTCAGCAAGCAAACAAAGACCACGGCATGGATCTTACCAACTTGAGTTATGTTGTGGGTGTTGCCTATGAAGCTAGCATCCATACCACTGCTATTGCATTGGGGTATTTTATCATGGCATGCGTTCTTTATCCAACGACAGTGAAAAGGGCGCAAGAAGAACTTGATCTGGTCACTGGAGCTCGGATGCCTACTTTCGATGATGTATCCAACCTCCCTTATGTCAACGCGTTTGTCAACGAGGTTCTGCGGTGGCGACCACCGCTTCCTTTGGGGCTGCATCATGAGGTTAGTCAAGATGATCCATATCAGAACTTCTTCATTCCGGCCGGAACTACGATTGTGGCGAGTGAATGGTCGATGGCAATGGACGAGGGTGTATTTGGGCAACCTTCGGAATTTATCCCTGAGAGATGGATCGAAAACCCCAAGCTGAGGCAAATTGGGTTTGGTTTCGGTAAGCGTCTCTGTCCTGGAAAACATCTAGCGTGCAATTCTCTGTTCATCGTGATTTCTCGCCTCCTATGGGGCTACCAATTTGCCCACGCCTACGAAAATGGACGCAAAATTGAGATAGACCCAATGAATATGAAATCAGGGATCGCAGCTGAGCCATTTCCTTTCCAAGCAACTGTGTCCGTGCGCTCAAAGCATCGGAAAGTCATCGAAGAAGAATGGGCAGCTGCTGAGAAAGATAGTGATGTTTTGTTGGACGCTATCAGGTCGATGCAGGAATAGTATCCTCTTTTTGTTTCTAGAAGAAAGGCACACTTTCGTTTTTCTCAAGATCTGTGTCTCAAACAGCGAGACTTGGGGGGGTCGAAAATGGCCCCGGGGGTTAATCACGTAATCTCAGGGTTATGTGCATCTATCCAAAACAATATGAATTTCATTGTATAAAAGATGTCGCGAGCTCGATGACATGGGTTATTCGAGGGAATTTGTCAATACACATGAATATATCAATCAATCAAAGTTCAATTAACCTGTTGCAGTCTTAACTATTGGCCTTAGGACCGTGTAACGTCTTATTGCACCCTGTGGTCCCTGTGCATGCGAGTAGATGGAAGTAGCAAAGAATTTCTGGGGGGGTTCAATGACATAGCCTGATAGTCTTTGTCTTCACTGTTCGGGCAACACTTGCTTTATGAAGTTCACTATATTTTCTTTTTACATGTCTCATTCTAAACTCAAAGTTTGAAGTCGACAGATAACTCAGAATTGGATTCATCGGGTTGAATATGATAGGAAGGTTGAAAGTCCGAAGCGCTTGTGAAGAGTGTCATCAGCGCAAGTCAAAATGTATTCCACGGGCTGGGGGGTCCTGCCACGCTTGTCTATCCTTTGGACGTCCCTGCCATTTTCTTCCTCGCAAAAAATGCGGACGACCTACGAGAACTTACCCTCAACTGAATCCTTCCCGCTTCTCAAACACCTGGAATGGGAATGTTGTGACTGAAAAGTCGCAAAAGGTCTTCGATTTGATGGGTCCAAGTCACAGTGAAACTTTTCCCCATGTTGATACTAACAATCTGGTCAGTACCTCATTCAACTCATCGCAGCACTAGTATACGCCTCAGAGGATGCTGACAGCACTTGATAGGAAAATTGTGTGGGTTATACGCCAAGTTCATCTGTATGCGACATTATCAATCACACCAGTACTTTACCTCTGGGGACTACCGAATCTTTTGATATCAATGACATGCTGTCTGCGAGCGTCAATGTGTCGCAAGCTTTTCCAAATATTCCCACTACAGCTACCTTGGACACATACAGTGGTCCCCCAAATGATCGGTCTGTCTTCAAAATCAACCAGGCTATCGTAAACATAGACGACAGTGATCTTGTCCCAACGCAAGCAACCACTGAAGCTTTGGCGTGGTGCGGTAACACTTCGGATGGGAACTTGCTCCAATGTTCTGATCCTTTATATCGGGGGGGTGATTGGTCTTACTCAGGTCTACATGAAGATTCAAAGCCTGGATTACAAACTTGGAGTCTCGAAGCCCTACATTGAATCATTGTTTCTTCAGCACTCAACGTATGAGACACTCAATTCAACATGTCACGAGCTTTATACAACTTCCGAAAGATTTCTTCAAGTTACTTGGGGTACGGACAATGGGAGAAGCATCATGGAAGGAACAATTATTGCAAAATTGATCACCTACAAGGTTTGTGATATCATTGCAAAAGCTTTGCAATACCATGCGCTTTCCGAGAACAACCCTCGAAGCCCACAGACTTTTGAGCAACTCCAGTTGAATATCACACAGATTAAAGTATCTCTCATGTATATCCAGAGTACAGGAGACCACTTGAATCCGATTTCTTTTGATTTAACACGAAAGATGGAACAAATCGAGAGTCAACTGGCAGCCATTGCCATCCATAGTGGCGGGGTACACCAAATAAGGGGGAATCAGGGTTTGAGCTAGACTAGACTTATTTGTATGAAGTCAGAGCAAAAGAACAGAGCAGTGGTCAGTCCAAAATTCACAATTGGTCTAAGTTAGATGTTGGCACATTTCATGGCTGTGGCTACATCGTGAAATCTATTATTTGACGTACTCTTTGGTTTCTCACTCTAGGGCACACTTGTTTCGCTGCGCTATCATGAAGATTTCTGTAAAGCCAGAAGATTAAGATTGCACTGGCACCAATTCTCGGCGCTCGCCTCGTCAAGTAGGATATCGAGTCAAGTTGCACGACTTGTCACTTTCGATCCTATTTGAGATCGATACATTTGCATATGGCCAAGTCATAGTAGTGGGATTGGCGTGTATTGCTCTGTCCGCGACCAAGGAAATACGAATAATTTTCCAATCAGGAATAATGATCATACTTATAGCCCTCATATCCAGACCTGCGCAAAGCCCAAAGCCAAGCCCGCCCCAACCCACTAACGGGCTGGGTTTTCAGGCCGGTCTTTGGGCCGACCGGCGGGCCATGGGGCCGGGGCAAACGCTCACTGGACTTTGAATAGGAGCCCAATAGGGCCTCAAAAGCACTCGACAATACAAATATTCCGACAAACGTGACTTATCCCCAATGACTGGATAAATATCAGTATCTCAATCGTTAATATATCGAACATACGTTGAGTGGAGTAACTTCTGTAAGATATGGCTTCGCCCCCCCCAACAAGAACCATCAACACTTTGATGTTGAGATATATATAACAAGTGATCAAGTTCGGAACAAGAGATGTTCCGCCAAGGAGAGCGAACGGGAGTGAGCGACGTGATTGGAAGAGTTTTTGGGGAGAGAGTGCCCCACTCTCTATATAACATTGCCCCAAAAACTTGAGCCTGAGTCTCAAGGTTTATTTCCTCTTTTGAGGAAATTTGGGAACCGGACGGGGCCCGCCGAAGGTGGGAGGATCCGCCGGCCATTGGCTGGAGAGCGCATGAGCGCGCCCGAAGGGGTTAGTCTCGGGTAACGAGACGGTATTGCCAATCGAACGAGGGCGGTCAGAGACTGACCGCGTCCCGAACAGGAGATTTTCAGCTTGAGTCTGAAAGCCTGAGTAAATTACTACATGTAGTAATTCTTGACCCTACGTGCCATAGTCACGTTGTTCGTGACGTGGTATATAAGGTGACGTGGTATATAAGGGGACGGTTGTCCCCTCTAGTTTTACAATAGTATAAATATTTGGGTATCAAAAATGGTGTACAAGAGTTCAAAGAAACCCTATGCCCGTCAGGGTAAGAGTCAATACCGCCCTCGTCGCGGCGGTGCTTCTTCAAAGTACAATCGTGGTACTCTCGATAAGTATATCGAGGCTAAAGTTCAGCGTGCTGTCAAGAAGGCGAGTCGTGGACCGCCGCGCAGTGTTCCTGTACAGTTAACACCTGCACAGTTTGATCGGAATCATTCTATCCCGCAGGTCAAAATTCTTGATAAGTGGACCACTTATTTCCTTGGGCCGTCTTCGGCGTTCAAGTATGGGATTCTTCCCATTACCGAAGTTATTCCTACGCAGCGACCGTCTGTGGGGGAAGCCGATGACCGTTTTCGGTCACATAACAAAGTTCTTGTGAAAGGAGTGTTTCTCCGCATGGTTGTTAATCATACTATGGGCGTTCGGCTTCTTGTATTTGCGTTCCGTAACGGAATGCGGCGCGACATTTCGCCATCAATTAGTACTCGACCCTTTGTTGACGGATCGACTATATGTGATCCTCCTGTTAAAGGACGGCCTCCGTCGGAGGTTGTGTTTGATGTGATGGGTAAGGAGCAGCTCATGGGAATGGAAGGCAGTGGGAAGCACGGGTTCAGGAATCTGGGGGTCCACGATGGACCCTTTGCTGTCACTGGTCAGCTGAATGGACGTTATGACTGGAAAGCCACGGATTTGACGGCTTTTACAAGTCGTTTTAGCAAGGACGAAGGTCGTCCTGTTGGTACGATCCATGTGAAGATCGATGGTGGAGCTAGCAAGTCGCATGGCCAAACATACAAAGCTTTGTTTGGTAGCGGTACTTTGAAGAGAACGAACGAGTGTGATGGAGCTGACCCGTCAGTGACTGCTTGGATGGGAACTCGTACTCGGCATGTGGAGTTGTTTATTAAGTTGAATAAACATGAGAAGGTTACAGTGTCGAATGGGTCCTTGTCGATTAACGAGCGACCGTTGGAGTTGTTTGTCGGCTTTGATTCGCCCAGTTCTATGCATGCGGCGACAAGCAGTGCGAAGGATGTTGCGTCGGGAGCAATTATGTCGATGGATATGGAAGTTTACTATGAGTGATTTAAATATATATATCTTCAACATGAAGTGTCAATGTGAAAAAAATCGGGGGCCCCAGCTTTGCTGGGGGGCGAAGCCCGATCGTATGCAACAGAGTTAGTATGAATTTATGTTTTTACGTGATAAAAAAAAGTTGATATTGTTCAAACTGTAGCTTAACCCAAGGTGATGTTTGTTCACTTGATGAACAAGAGTGATTTGATTGGAAGACTTTTTTGGGGAGAGAGTGGCCTCACTCTCTATATAAGCCCCAAAAAGTCGAGCTTGAGTCTCAAGTTAGTTCCTTGGGGAGACTTTTGGTACCGGGAGCCCCCGACGACAGGAAAGCGCTTTAGTAAGAGTAGATGGTCGTTTATGCGGCCTTGTGCCTTTTCATCGATCTGTTCAGAGGTCTTCTGAATGATCTTCTGAATGGTCTTCTGAATGGTCCTCTCGGTGGGCACCATAATTATCATTATTCAGTTCTTCTTACATATCTCTTATACAGCTTTCCCCTCTTCCACTATCTAGGTAAACGAAGAGAGTGTTCTATATAGAACCTCCGAAATAGACTCCGCCTCTCGTCTTTATGTAGGGGTGATACCTTATTATTCTAATTGATATGGAGTAAGTTGACGGTGAAATATATCAATCACGTTTTCAACTCTACAGAACTGGTAAAAGGGTTGGAATATAGCAATCACAAGATGTTAACCCCCTAGATGGTTATAATAGGGGCTCTATAGGCTATGAGCCCCCACAAATGGGCTGTGGGGGGCTTTGGGCCGAGGGTCCGGACCCGTTTGTGGGCTTTGCGGTCTGAGGGTGACCGTATTTTCACCAATCAACACAGAATCGGAGTGCCCAGGTCTGGGCGCGTCGCGCGCGTCTACCCAATCAGATATGGTTTTCCTTTGGGGGGAATCCTCGCCCCAAAGCGTCCGATTTCTTCTTGATAGAGTGAAAATCTGGATATCTCATTGGCAGCTCTAGTCCTATGTCTGTACTTCCAGTGTCACATGAATCCCGTTTGGCATTGAGAGATGGACATAGACCGACAAGGCGAGGAGAGTCAGAATAGAGATATTACATCTGAGAGATCAAGGAGACGAGAACATCTTCTTGGTAGACACTATATATCTTTTTGAGTGCTACGGATAGTCGATGGTCTGTGTTCCATTCTTGGAAAAGAATATTTCTGGGTTCAATGAACGTTACCTCGGGGAATGATTTCATGCATCTCATTTCCGCTTCTTTTTTGTTTCAAAGATTTGACTCATCCGTGGATGTCATACTGTTCTACTTATTGGTCCACCCCCGCGAGCAAAAGAGGTAACCCTAGAAGGGGTAAGAAGGGGAAGGACAAAGCCAAATATTGAAACACAAGTACTATCTCTCTTCTCTGTCACTCTTTAACATCTTCTCAACCCACGTCTTCCAGTGATACGTGGATAAATCCTCATGTTCGATAGCGTCAAAATCAAGATCTCAAAGATAGCAATAATACCCAGATATTGAGTTGGGACACTTTGATGAGGTTAAAATGGGCGCGACCTTGAAGGATACTACTATCGTTAGCAAAACCGGTGACTATACTCGCAGAGAAAAGACCATTTTGGTACTAGCAGATTCCACACATCCTCTCCGGCTTCCGAGATTTTTGAAGATTCGAGTATATTGGGCACGGTTGATGGGTTGGTGACAGGAATAATGAGGAACTGCATCTCGGGGTATAGGGTATATCTTATTCTCGGTGCCTGTTGCTCTGTATTCAAACTATGTCTCATTGGCTATCTGGCTGATCTATTTTGGTATACTATATCTTGACGTCAGTCTTAATCCGAGATACTAGGCACAGGGTGGATGTCAGATATCGATTGCACTGCGATATCCCCGTCCGGGGACAACCTGAAATTGATTACGAGCTTCGTTATTAGTAAGATCTGGAAAGAATGAAGTGATAATCTTAGTAAGTCATATTCACTGCTCTGCAGATGAAAAACGATGATAATGCAAGATGATAAGGTACAAGATAGAATAACAGTGGGTATAATAGAAGTCTGGTAAAAGGAAACCAAGCCAATTTCAGGCCCAGAATAGACAAGAAGATAGTAGGACATGCCATGCTGTGCTTCGCAAAGAAAGCAAAGAAAAAAGCGAGAACCAACAGCTCAAGCACCGTACATTCGCACATCCTCCGCATCGACTTCCTCGCGGCGGCGGAGGAAGGTAGCTTCCTCAAAGTCATCCATGTCCATGGTGGGCTGTTCAATCTTGCTATGACGCACAGCGAGAATTCGGCGACTTTGGCCCAAATTGGGTGAAAGGATGGTCCGTCCGTATGAGTTCTCGTGCCAGGATCGGCCGAAGTTGTTGAAGGATTCGTCGACATCCTCATCGGCGAGAATATCGTTATCTAATTCCAAAGCCCGTTTTTGACCGCCCAAAGCAAGTGACACAACTGAGTCTTGGCTACTTGGTGGGATCGAGTATGCGTCACCATCGTCGGTGACGAGGTAGTCATCGTGGCTGGAGGATTTCCCAGTGCCAGAAAACGGCAACAGCTCTGAGCGTCTGCTGGCATGGTAAGGTTGAGCGCGAGGGTGCTGAGGAACAGTTGCAGCGAGTGGGGCCTTTTCTTCTGTCTTGGACATGTGGGTTCTATATCCGTCTGCGACAGATTTTCGGACCCGCATTCCGACGGACAGAAGTGAGGACTGAACTTTGGCGGGCACAACGGGGTGGGCAGAGAAGGTTTCTGCGGCATAATGGTGATGGTGTGACACTACAGGTGTATTTGAGGACACTGGTTCTGAGGCAGAAGTGAAAAAGGTCGTGATAGGCGGTTGGAAGCGTCGGCGTTTCGACAAGTCGCTGCTTGGCGTTGTGTTGATGGAAGGCATTTCGAAAACGGGGTTTAGAGATTGAAGATGTGTAAAGAGTAGAAAGAGATGTGTGCAGGCCTGTAAGATTGTTTCAAAACGAGGGAGGTGACGTAGTGGTGAAGGGAAAGGAAAAGAAAATGCAAAATGAGGCTGCTCAGGCAACGGGAACGCCACTTAACGCGGTACGCGTTGATCCACCTACGCGCCCAATCTATATCTCATATCAGATAAGGAGTATACGGACCTCGGGAGTATCAAAGATCTCATTTGATTTTTCCACCTATCTAGGTAGCTTTTCTATACTATTCGAACAAGGGCTGTCATAGATGGTATCTGCTATTGATATATCCTGCATGCAAAGAAAGCGATGTACTGTATATAGACAATCATTATTTTTTTTTAAGAAAAAAGGAAATAAAAGGCTTAATTGCCAACGTTTCCTCTGCGTCCGCCTCTCTTGCCACGATCGACATGGGCCCGGAGCACAGCGCGGGTCTCCACCAAACTTCTCTTGTTCTTGCTGCGGGCCTTGCCCAGCGTCATGAGGAAGTTCTTCTTGCGAGCCTTTTCCTTGTTGGTACTACTCTTTCCTGCCTCCTCCTTGCGCTCCTTGCGGCGAGCCTCCTTGCTCATATGATCGGTTGTCTTGCCCTCCTTGGCGTGGGCAATACGTTCCTCACGAGTAGCCCTAGCGGCAGACAGAGCAGCAAGACCCTCGATCTCACCAGCGGTCAATGGGTCATCGGTATGGCGGGAGGTCCATGGGGCAGCAACGCGGCCCTTGTTACCCGGAAGAGTTGCATTAGCGGCTGCCTGAGCACGAAGCTCGGTAAGCTTGGCAAGATCGGCGGGCGTGAGGATGCGGGTGGTGGCCAGTTTCATGAAATCAATGGCTTTCTCAGCCTCCGCTTCTTTTTCAGCCTCCTTCTTGGCCTCTTCTTCCTGTTTGGCTTTCTTTGCTGCAGGTTTGCCTTCATCCTCGGAATCGCTCAGCACAATGTCAACATCGTCCTCCACATTGATCCATTCTCCATCGACATCACTGTCCTCGTCATCTTCAACATTCCAGGCTGCCCAGTCGGCTTCGTCATTCTCCACTTCATCATCTTCGGCATCGGATGGAAGACCATTCTCGATGTTTCTCTTGCGGCGCTCCTCGTCTTTCCACTTGGCCAAGAGTTCCAGACCCTCGATTTCGCCGACCTCCTGCTGGCCGTAGCGTCTTTCTTGTCTTTCACCAGCACGTAGACTCATTGCGGCCTCCTTGCCACGGTCACGCTTCTTGAGCATCTGCGCACCAACATCACGGTAAAGACTGAGGAGACCCTTGGAGGCCATCATGACACCCTTATCCTTACTCTTCTTGTACATGACAAGATCCTGCAATAGAGTCTCGTCAATAGCCAAAGGCTGTCTGGCACAAATTTCACGGATGGCATTCAGACCAGCCGTCGCAACTTCACCTGCAGATGCTTCTGACACGAACTCATTTGCGATCTTCTGAACCAGAGGCTCGAGGACATCCGGCGGCACCAAGTCATGGGAGGCTTGAGCCAGGGATGCCAGGAAGGAAGTCACTGAAGGCTGACGGGGCGTAAGGTACTTTTGGAAGTAAGAGTAGAGCGGCATGATGTGCAACTTGTGCAAGCCGACCAGGCGGGAGACCAGCTGTAACACTTGAAGCTTTTGCTCCAGATTCAACTTAGACTTGCCGTTCTGGAGATGCTTGAAGAACATGTTATCCGCGAAACCCTGGGGGTCGTGCAGTAAATGAAGCGCGGAGAAGTTGAGGGGATTGGGATTGCCCTTCTTGCGCTCCTTGTTTCTGGCCGCTTTGATAGCCTTTTCGGCAACACGGGCCTTCTTTCTGGTCTTTTTGTTGATAGTAAGTTGGTGCTTAACTTGGCCAACGCTGACCTCTTCCTCACTATCTTCGTCCTCCAACTCTTCGCGCTCCTTATCGCCACCAAGGAAGAAACGGACTCCGCCGGTGACGACCTTCTCATTAAGAGACAAGGCTGCCTCCTTCATGACCTCAACGGCCTTGGCTTCGGTCCAGATTTGGCGTTTCCATAGCTCTCTGGTGATCTTGATCGCCCACAGGCCTTTGCCGATGTGCGGTCTGATGTGACCAAGTTGAATAGAACGGTCTGCATAGTTCGGTTCAGCTTGTGGTTGGTAGCCTTCGAATTTGCGGTTCGCAGCTCAGAAAGAATCTTCTGGAAGAGCAGAGCACGCAGGGTCTTGCTAGGTGTAGAGACGAGGATGGGGAAGAGAGTGTGCAGTAACCTGGGGTAACGTTTAGAATCGACGGTAGGGAGATAATGGGTGGGATTTTCATACGTTGCTGAATCCAAAAGTTCCTTCTTCTTCAACAGAACCAAACTTCCGACCAGCTTCTCCCGCAACTCTGTCTCTAACACTAGGTGGTGCTGCATGAGCATGTCAATGAGCTGTTGCGGGAAGTCCTTACAGATCCCAGGGTAACAGTCGGCCACATGGGAAATGAAGTCAATGAGATCCCGAAGAGAAATCACACCGGTATCCGTAGCCGATGAGGGCGCCGCCATGAAAATCTCACGATGAGATTCATATTGGTAGTGTTGGGCGCGGAAATCTTCGATATAAGACCTGAGTAGCGCAAACCGGCAATTAGCCCCCGATCGAACGCAAGATATAGAAAATCTCTGCATATAACTTACTTGGGGTCCCTGCGTATCTTATGCTGCAAATTAGGCCTGCGAATCGCAAAGAAAAGATGTTAGTATTCATGGACTGAAAGCCTCTGATCGATTGACCATGGGCACATCCGGCTCAGACAAAATGTACATACAGGTCAGCCTCGACCTTTTCCAAGGCTCCAAGCTTTCTTTTCACCATTTTGAAGGTGGAAATCAGAATGTGGTGGTTGGGAAGGGTGTGTTGAGGTCCGAAACTTTTTTTTTCTCCGTATTCTCCGTATCGATAAGCGATGGAAAATCTCAATCTTGGCAATATCCCATCTTGATTTGGCTAGAACTATCAAGGCAATTATCAAGACATTTGAATCATGTACATATTATACTACAATCTATATTGCGAGATCCATTCAAAAACGCGAATAAAAGAAATTTTTTCTTTTTAGGAAATAGGTCTTTACGACCCAAGGTCTTCATGATCGCATCACAACTACAAAGAAAGCCGTCCGAATGCGTTCCCTTTTAAGATCGTGCTTCCTCGACTGTATCACATTATGTACAGCCTTGCAGATGCATGCGAATGCACTGAATCCCGGTTAAAACCCCGTCCACTCCAGTATACGCAAACAGAGGACCAAACGGAGAACAAATCCAACACAACCCCTTTACCGGTTGCTCTTGGCAACACGCTCGAGCTCGTCCTTCTTCTTGATGGCGTAGGAGTTGGAAGAACCCTTGGCGGCGTTGATCAGCTCCTCAGCAAGGCACTCAGCAATGCTCTTGATGTTGCGGAAAGAGGCCTCGCGGGCACCGATGGTGAGCAGAGAGATAGACTGGTTCACGCGGCGGAGAGGAGACACATCGACGGCTGAAATAGAATTTAGTATTTATATCAGTGGCAAGGCAAGACACTTCACATACCCTGGCGACGGACGGTACCCTGGGAACCGATACGGGTGGAGTCCTCACGGGGTCCGCAGTTGACAATGGCGTCAACGGCGACCTGGAGAGGGTTCTGGTCGGTCATGATGTGAATCTGTGGAATTGAAAATTAGTGCCTGAGTTGGATAGTTGATCTTTGGTCGGAGTGGCACATACGATCTCGAAAGCGTGAGCGACGATGCGCACAGCCAGGAGCTTCTTTCCGTTGTTGCGGCCGTTCATCATGAGGGAGTTGGTGAGACGCTCGATGATGGGGCACTGAGCCTTGCGGAAACGCTTGGCGGCATAGCGACCGGCAGAGTGGGAGAGGTAGACGGGGGAGCGGATCTGGATGTAATCGCTGTGATGGCGGGTCAGCACCTCTGTAAACCTGATAGTCGCGCAATTGCCGGTCCTTGTATGCGCTATTGATTTCCTGATGTGTGCGAGTATAAAACCAGTCCCACAACGTGCTGTGTTTCCTCCGATACGAGATTTCGAGATCCCCCTTCAAGTTGTCGAAAAAGTCTTGATATTCCACCAATTTAACGCATTTTTTTTTCTCTTCTCGCACACAACAGGATTTCACTCGGCGCATAGAGGACCTGATAGAAAGACTCACGTCAGGGAGATGTCCCGGATCTCGACATCATCGTAGCTCCACTTGTTGAACAGCTTAATGCTGCCCTGCTCGGCCAGAACCTCCTTGGGCAGGACAGGGAAGGCGGCGACCTCGACGTCCCCGTTGTCGGACATGTTGACTGTGCGGGAGGGGTTCGTGGGAAAATGACCGGGTTGTCGTTTGGTGGTTGAACGTCGATGAGGTTCCGGTTATCCAAGAAAGAAATTGGTGTGCCTCGCTTAGGTTGTGCGGGGGTCATGTGATTAGGGTAGGCTGGGAGTGGAGATCACCTGACCTATGTCTTGATATCGGAATGCCTTGGCGCTCGGACACCTTCATGCCTGAGGAGTCAAAATATCTGACATAATCGGCACTGGCAGCCTGGAGGGAAAGCCCGTGGACGGATCCCAGCCTTATATCGATCACACTGATTTTGTGATGTCCTACTGATTCTATAAAAACTTCCCGGGTGTTGAATGCCATTTCATATTTGTGTATTCCTTCATCTGGATACACAATTCTGTGTAATCTGTCTCTCATTCCCTGTAGTTCCGAGTCTGGGCCGGGACACACGATACATTCAAGTCAGACGGTACCTGAAAAGCCACAATTTATATCGGAACTCAAGTAGGTTTTGTTATTCTCGTAGAAGGTTCTCTTCATTTTCTATGTATAAGTCAGACAGCCATATCTATATCGAGGTAACTATGTCTCACTCAGGCTCCTCGGCTCGCTTGACCGCCCTCAGCGGGTGACGTTGCGGTCTTGCGCGGAGAGGGTGAGCGACACGACCGATTGACTGTCATTCGACTAACATACAACCTGCGGCTATCAGGGCTGTATTTGGCAAATTCGCCACTCTCCTGCGCCCTCGAGACGCTCATTGCAATGAGGTGTTCTTGACTCCGTGCCGCCCCCCATCCCTTCCCCGCGCTTTTGATACATTTCCCGAATTGAGGCTTTCCGACCCTCTGTCCAAATGGCGGAGGAGTCTCCTGAGATACAGGCCGCTTTGCGGAATCTAGACCGGGAATTAGAGGTATGTACATTCCCTGCACATGTTGAATCCTTTTGCTCATGCATGATCCATGGCAGGAGGGCGATATCACCGAGAAAGGGTAAGCGATTTGATTAGACATACTATCCCTGGGCACAAGCAGTATGACACGCCAATTGTTCCGTGTTATAGATGCGGTGCCTCCGTCGGGCTTGTTCTGAACCAGCAGATGCATAGGATAGCTAACAGCAACAAGATACCAGAAGCGACGTACGGTCCTGCTCTCGCAATATTTCGGTCCCAACAAACCCCTTGAGATCAATCCCCAGGTCGGCCTTAGCTATGATGCATCCTCAGCCAGGTCTGGAAGGGCCCCGCCGGCCATTTTGAACGTTCGCCCACCAACTGCTGAATCTTCCCTGCCAAACATCGCTTCCCCCACTTACGCAGGCAATTACAGTAGCTCACAGGCCAGCGGAGGCGTCGGATACAATCAAGGCGCCGGTATACAGACACAGGATCAGTCACAGACATCGCTAGGGCCTCATGGCAGAGAAAGCATGCTCCAGGCGCATGATCGCGCGCCTTCTGGGAGCTCCTACGACTCCCTATTCCTTCCTAGACCCCCGGTCCCAGGTCCACAAGGCCAGGATGGCTCCAGAACTGCAACTTTAATGAGTCAGAACTACGCGTTTAACCCGAACTCCCAACCCGAGTATATGTCCCAGCCCGAGTATGCTCAGGAGTACGCCCAGGAATATGCTCCCGCTGAACACGCTCAGTCTGAGTACGTGGACGAGGGCGTAACATATTACGATCAACCGTCTGGAGCACCCACGCGACAGTCTACCATGCTTGATTCCCAACAGGGTTACTTTTCCGACTTTGCAGGGCAACAGCATGATGATTATAGGGATAGCTATGGAGGTGGCTTCCACCGTTATTCTCAATCTGGGGAAGCTTTTTCGCCAACAGCAAACATGGCTCCACCATTGATGCCCGGCGCAGCGGAGCTTCAGCATGGACCGGCTATTGAGCATTTACATCCGCTCGAACCTCGAGAGATTCCTTTCGCATTGAACGATCCGCATGACAAAAATATCCCCATGTCCAACTTTGATAACCTTCCCACAGTCTTACGGCATCGTGCTCGAGCTCACCCCAAGCAAGCAGCATATTGGGTTCTGGATGCAAAGGGCAAAGAGGTTGCATCGATAACGTGGGAAAAGTTGTCTAGCCGAGCGGAGAAAGTTGCTCAAGTCATCCGTGATAAAAGCAATCTATATCGTGGAGATCGTGTCGCTCTCATCTACCGTGAAGCTGAGATTATCGAGTTCGCTGTTGCGCTGTTAGGATGCTTCATTGCCGGAGTTGTCGCCGTGCCTATCAACAGTTTGGATGACTACACCAGTCTAAATCTCGTGCTTACCTCGACCCAGGCTCATCTGGCTTTGACAACCGAGAACAATTTGAAGAACTTTCAACGCGACATCACAGCACAAAAGCTCAGTTGGCCACGAGGAGTTGAGTGGTGGAAGACGAATGAGTTCGGCAGTTTCCATCCAAAGAAGAAGGACGATACGCCTCCGCTGCAGGTCCCTGACCTGGCCTATATTGAGTTTGCGAAGGCTCCGACGGGTGATATGCGTGGTGTCGTCATGAGCCACCGGACTATCATGCACCAAATGGCATGTTTGAGTGCAATCATTTCTACGGTTCCTACAGAGTCAAGCGCCAGGCAGTATGGCACCAAGGGAGAGACTATCATCAGTTACCTCGATCCGAGACAAGGAATCGGTATGATCATAGCCATTCTCCTCACCGTTTACGGTGGCCACACAACCGTTTGGCACGAGGACCGGGCGGTAGAAACACCCGGTTTATATGCCCATCTCATCACCAAGTATAAGGCGTCAGTCATGGCGACCGATTACTCCGGGTTGAAAATTGCCACCTACAACTATCAGCAAGATCCGATGTCGACAAGACATTACAAGAAAAACTCAGAACCTAATTTCAGCAGCGTCAAACTCTGTCTCATCGATACCCTCACTCTCGACCCTGAGTTCCATGAAATCCTGGCAGACAGATGGCTTCGTCCAATGAGGAACCCACGAGCTAGAGAAATTGTGGCCCCGATGCTCTGCTTGCCGGAACATGGAGGCATGGTCATCAGTATGCGTGATTGGCTCGGTGGTGAAGAGCGAATGGGATGTGCCTTGACTCATGAAATGGACCCAGCTACCCGTGACGATGCTAAGAAAGAAGACGAGAGCCTCATCAAGTCCGAGAATAAAACTGGGTTCGGAAGCAGTCTTCTGGGTGGTGGATCACGAGTTTCTACGATCAAGCAGAGCCCCAAGAACGAGCTCAGTGAAGTGCTATTAGACAAAGAGGCCTTGAAAAGCAATGAAGTGGTTGTGCTGGCCATGGGCGAGGATGCACGAAAGTACGCCAGCAGTATGCCGCATGCTGTGCGCGTTGGCGCTTTCGGCTACCCAATTCCCGACGCAACTCTCGCTGTCGTTGATCCAGAGACCAATCTCCTCTGTACGCCAAATGTTGTTGGGGAGATTTGGGTTGATTCACCCTCTCTTTCTGGTGGCTTCTGGGCATTGCCAAAACACACAGAGGCCATATTCCATGCTCGTCCCTACAAATT